ACACACACACACACACACACACACACACACACACACACACACACACACACACACACACACACACACACACACACATAACTCCAGGAGTTTATCGTATTACTGGCCGATCCAAGAGGAACCCGAGGACAGCGACTGAGCAGTCTTCTTATGTCCAGTGCTGCACTGCACAACCAAAAGGAGGCACCGGACCATGAATATCAGATGGTAGCGCTAACCCTAACCCACATGTGTCAAAGTCAAGGCCCACGTGACTTACGTTCCTCCCCAACAGAGAGTAAAACTCTCCTACTTGTTACTTTTAATAGTATTTCTGTATTATTCATGTCCAGTGGTGGGATGTAACTAAGTACAAGTACTTTGTTGCTGTACTTAAGTATGTTTTTCATGTATCTGTACTTTACTTAAGTAGGTTTCATCATGGATACTTTTGCCTTTTACTCCACTACATTTTACATTGAGTATCTGTACTTTCTACTCCACTATATTTCTGTAGTGTGTAGAATTACAAATTACATTCATGTCACTTCACATTTTTTTCGTGGTTTATTTGTTTGTTTGATTTTTTTTTAGTGTGAAAGGAATCAGTGGCGAGAGGGGGAATTGGTGTAATTGGTCCACTGAACCACTGCAAAGCAGGAAATTACCATTAGACGCTCCTCCATAAAAAGGCAGAGCATCAGCTTGCCCACGATGGTTTCCACCAAGGAGGAAATGTGCCACTCTTGGCCTTATTTAAAAGACTTATTCAAGTTAACTGGTTCAAAAAAAATGACTTGTTGAGGTTTGATAGAGGAGGTTGGTGGCAAAATTTAAAGCTTCTGTTGTCACAACCTGTGATGATGCACGGAATCACAAGTCCAAGTGTGAACAGTGTCAGAGGTTAAACACAAAACTATGCATCATCTGCAGCATTGTTCACTAAAATGGCATCATTGATGTATTAAAAATATACATACAGTAGGCCCACTTTACATTGTAGACCATTAGGGAATACTTTAAGCAAGCACTTTTCTTTTAATACTTTAAGTATTTTCAAAAGCACGTATTTACTTACTTTTACTCAAGTAAAATGTTAATGTGATACGTTTACTTTCACTAGAGTACATTCTTGTCTATTTATCAGTACTTTTACTTAAGTACAGTGTTTGAGTACTTTCTCCGCCACTGTTTATGTCACATTAGTCAGTCACACACACAGTGCTTTTCAGTGTTTRAGGGATGTGTTAAAACACTGTTTCTATGCAGGAAATACCACRTAGAGCTCAGTTATTGTTTGTTAGCAGTGCTCAGCCGTAGCCATGTGAAGAGGAATGTGACCATTTCTGTTCAKTCAAAGTTAAAAAAGAAACATTGAAAGTTAATTACATCTGGCCCTTTGAGGGCCACCATAGCACTCGTGTGGCCCTCARTGAAAATGAATTTGACACCCCTGCCCTAACCCATTATAACAATTTTCATTGCTAGTTAAATGCTGGGATGTTGATGTATGGAGKTGGGGGGTTGATAGGGGTAGGACGACCCTAAAACAAGACAGTTATTATACTCCCACAAAACCTTATGGATGAGTAAGAGAAAAGAAAAAGAGCACAAGTAGGACAACAAGGAAGGAAGTGTGGATTTTGAAATCATGCCACCCTCCCTCCCGCCCCCCCAAAAAACTAAAGGGAAAGTGTTTTCATTTTGAAACATGTGAATGATGCCAGCAGAGGGAAAAGCGTGAGGTGATGAGGGAGGACAGAAATATGGAGCTGAGCACCAGGGGAAGGCGGGAGAGTGATGGAGAGGGTGTGAGGACGAAGARGGAAAACTGAGAAGGAGACTGAGTGATGGGGCTCAAAGGAGCGAAAGGAGCAGAGAGGATGAAAGTGAAAAAGGAAAGACAGCAGGCAAAATCTGCTCCAATGGATCGAGCTGCATGCAGATTTATGAGCTGTTCTGGGTATCATTATACATCAACCAGAGTGGATGGGGAGACTCAACCAAAGTGACGCCTCTGAGGTTGTGTGTGTTTATCTGTGTATGTACTGAGGCACTCTTATTCTCCCTCGACTTGCAGCTCGGGTGTCCTCCAAAGCAAACTGACTTCCGTCTTGAACAGAAACAAGCAGCCTGCAGTGAGGAGACGTCCACCCGTCCTCCATTATTCCACCATCTACCTAGAAGAGATGCGTGGACCACCCAGGACCGGGTAGTCAAAGCTCTTCTTTGATGTGGAACAGGCATATGTGCGGTGCATGGGTACAATCACGTCGAAAACAGTCGCCAAACACAGTTTTACTGCCTCCTGTGCGGCATCATTATTCCTTGTCACTGGAGTGGTGGGATGCTCAAAAAGACAAAGACAAAGAAGGAGAGAAAGGCAGCCACCTACTGTGCCAGGCAGAGGGAGACTGAAACACTGGAGCCGTATGGTCACCCTGAGGGAGGGGAAACCTGCCCAGTCCAACCACATCTCAATTAAGCAATTAAGTTCAAAAGTTAACAGGGGACTAATTAGAGAGTATAATGCTGAATGCTTGTTTTAATCTTCCCCTTTTTCCCCCCCATTTCCACTATGCAGTTTGTGTCCACAACTTGGATGGCTTAGCTTTCAACTGGAACATGGCACGCAGACTACTGTTAGTCACCCTTCRAACCCCAGTCTGAACACAAAACCTGCAGATTTAAACAGATCAGTCATCGGCTGTAAAACAAACCAGATCCGCAGCATTCCATCTGTTGTTTCCCATAAAACTAGGCAGATATTGGAAACTGCACTTTTAAAGATCAATGGGGAAAAAACATAGAAAGAAATTACATTTTAGTCATGTTCAGTGTGGTTACTTCCTCCTTCCGATCTGCTTGTGAGTTTTAATAAATGCTAAACGAGGGGTTTAGTGCCTCACTAATGCTCTTTATATTTCTCTTTTTACCACTGTCATATTAAAGACTCTGTAGGACTTGGGGCTACATTGTGCTCCCATCGTYGACAACATGCCTCCAGGAAGTGTTTGTACCTTACAACTCAGAGTACAAATTTTATTATTGTGTTAAGGAGGGGGGAAAATCATGGCTGCTAGATTGTTTATTTCCTTTAATGAAATTTATTAGCGATTGTGTGAGAAAATATTGTTGGGGCTGCTTTGAGCCAATTGTGTTTAGAATCAGCCTGACAACTTGATGAATAGAGAAATGAGTAATCTTTCTTTGACTCAGCCCCTACAGGGATAACTTTGTGCTCTTTTTTTGGGGGTGGGTGGGGGGGTATTTCGAGAAGATGTTCTTAAGTTTTTTTTTTGTTAGCTGTTTGAGTTCCTGCATGTGTGTGTATGTGTGTGAAAAAGGTGGGAGTGAGAACAATCCGGGATGTCAGGATGCAGTTTAAGAGGTGAAGGACTCCCCTGTTGTATGTGAAACCCTGGAGAATTCATCTCTCCTTCCTTTCTACCTCCTCCTCCATTTTTTTCCCCTACTCCCTTACGCTCATCTCTTCGTCTGTGAGATCCACAATGCTGGGAAGAAATGTGTCGTTAACAGGGGAGACCAAAAATAATGTTTATGGGCTCAAACAGCACTGAAATCATTTTCCATATCAGTGCAACTGCATGGGCCCTGTGGGGGAGTAAATCTGATTTTCTCCTCCCTGTGCCAATGGGAAACATCATGGGAAAGAAAACAGATTGGATTGTTAGAGAGATGGCCTGACGCAGCTGTGGGCGGCTCTTTTTGTGTTTGGGTGCTTTACTGTGTGTGTGCGTTCATAAGTGTGTGTATCATAAAGGAAAATGACTAAAAAAACTGAAGAAAAAAGGCAAAAAAAATGAGGAAAAAGCATAATAAAATGCAAATGATGCATATGTGGATGAGTTTGAGATGGATGAACCCTACTGTGGTTGTTAGTGTTTAATGCCCCAGGACTATAAAGTTGGAAAGCAGTGAACAAATGACCCTGAAATGCTCCCACATAACAAAGGGTCAGTAAGMATCAAAGTTTGGACTTGGAACAAATGGCCCTCCTTGAGGAGTGTAGAACTCCCTTGTGTAGGGTTCAAAGAATAAAATRTTTATGACTTTCCAAGTTATTAGCAAAAATTTGCGTCTTTTTGCTCAATCTTTAGGAAACACTTGTTTTTTCTCTATTTAACCAAGAAACAACAAAAAGGCATTTGGTCTAGTCTTTATGGGAAAAATCAGTCCTCTGCAATAGAAAAGAACTGTTATGGAGTGGGCTAATACGGACTTCCTGTTTGATTGCAAACATTTAAGCTCTCAGAAAAATAAGGGATGGAAGAAAAAAAACAAGAAACAGTATAGCAGTTCTGTGTTGTGGCATTGCTTTTTATTGTCTGTGCAGTTAAATCTGTGTTGTGGGAACAGGGAATGTGTGTAACTGCCCAAGTGGGTGTAAAGGGAGTGCAGTGGACCTGGAGCTCATTTGTCCTGGCTCGGAGCTGCCTCTGTTTTGAATCTGTCCTCCCACCTTCTGTGTCCCAGTCTGGAATGTTTGCTGGCTCTTCAAAGGTTGGGCCAGCGACTCAGTAAACGGCTGCTACTCTGCGCAAATCACACCAAGCACACCTCGGTAAACCCAAACCTTTACCTAAGCCCACTCATAAACTATTGATGTACCATCTGCTCCAGCCACTACCAAAAGAATTTAACTTCTGTACTCCTCTTTACTTCGTGTCACATTCACCCAAGCTTTTTCCTCTGTACTGCTCACCTGCCAACTCACATCTTGACAGATAGATGTCTTTTTATCTTCTACAAAAACATTAATTCTGGCAATTAGCTGTGATGGTGCTGAATTTCCTCTTTACTGTGTCCATAAAACATCTCTCCAGGAAGTCTTCTAGACATGGCTATCTCTTGCTGTCAGACACCTACAGTATCACCTCTCCTACATCACTGCCCGAGCAAGAGTTCGTTGTTGGTGGTGAACCTTTTGAATGTTGGGAATTCTCTCTGAAAAGATGGCTTTGTGAATAACTTCAGTTAGTTTTTGCTTTTATTTGCTATCTGGTCCCTGTTTATTGAGAGCAAGAGTGGCACATCCTTGGCACAAAGTGGAGCTTGTTTCCGGGTCCAGGTGTAGTTTCTGTAGGAAGAAATACAAAATAAAACCCTTTCAATGATYGGAATAATTACAAAAACAARCATATAGAGTGTGAGTGAAGACAGGAACAGAGTGAGGAAATGTGGTCAGTTTGTCCTAGTCTAAAGGGCTCATTAGACCAGGGTTCCTGCAGATCCTTAAAAAGTCTTAAAAKGTATYGAATTAATCAATCCAAAAATAAGACCTTAATTAGCCTTAAAATGTCTTAAATCAGTCTTTCAGAAGTCTTAAAATGCTGTAAAAAGGATGACTGTAATTCAGCTCAAATGTTAAAATAATTGGTAACATTTATTTTTTTTAATATTCACATGCACACATCCCCCTTCGACATCATTTCCTGTTATTTCACATGCAAATATCTCAACAACTGATCCATCTGAGCAACGTGAAATTCATTTTGTAATATGTTAATAATGTTGTCTTTCAAACAATGCATTCACTTTTCTTACAAAAACTTGACGTCACAGACACTTCAAGGTTTCATCTGCAGCAAAGTGGGGTTAAGACCCCACTGTGGGTCCTAAAACTCCAAATTTTGGGTCGTTAAACTGACTGCTAAGAATGTTTTTGCTATGTTTGATGAAAAAGCATTTATATATGGATAAAAACACTTGGATCTATTAGCAATATTTGAATACTTCAACCAAAAATACTTTGGTTCATGAGTTTCTGCCACAGCTTTTTTTTTTTGTCATTTGTGTTTATTATTAAACTGGTCTTAAAAGTAATTTCAGTTGGCATTAAAAAGTCTTTAAAAGTCTTAAATTTAACTTGYAACCCTGTTAGACTCAATTTGAAGCTGAACAATTGATGCGTGGTCATGTGGTTGTTCAATGTCTCAAACACACCTTTCATAGCTCTTGAGATGCACAACGTAAAGCTCCTGCTGTGGTATATGTCACTGTGTGAGGCTTCTTCCCGCTGAATTCAACACACTGGAAAAAAAAAACAAAAACTCAGATATCCACTGTTATTTTGTCCACAAATCTGYCCCGGTTAAAGTTTTTGTCAGATGGATTCCTCTGTGCACAACTTCTGTTTCATCTCCATCCATGAGTTTTTGACCATTTGACCATTTTTATGTCTGCTTCTGGGTACAGCAGTTGGATTCTTGAAGAGAGTAGTTGAAGCAAAATGCATCATCCAAGCGTTGTGAGCATAAACAAACACGCTCATGAACTTTGGACCAATCACACAATAATTTCTTGGGTGAAAAGTTCTCTTCAGCAGGTTGTGACAAGAAGTGGGGGCAGATTCAAAGCTGTGAACAGACTGAAGCAGTTTTCTTCCCACAACTGCAACACTGAGAGCTGATTTAGGACCATGCAGAGGCCTGCATCAGCACCCCTAACTAGACGATTGTGTTCAATTGCTTAATATCAATCTCTCAGTTCGATCTTGACAACTTTAAGCTTTGTAAAAACAGCTGGATGAAGTTTCTGGGGGTTCATTGAATAAGTTTTTCCAAGCCAGTTTATTTGTGAACAGAATCGTCCAGACTCTCACCCTGTCGTCACTTTGATAGTGAGAGAGTGGCTGACCACGATCCCACTCCGCAAAACACTGGCTGTCAACTTTAGCAAGACAGCCACCATACGAACTCCCAGTCACACACAAACAGACACACACACAGATGCACACATATGCTCAGCAGCTCCCAACTGCTCTTTCACATTGAAAGTTTCTCACAGTTGCTCTCACACTTATCTGCTCTAAACTCTCACCTCCTATCCCCTCCACTGGATGTTGCCYGGTATTGAAGAGTCGTTTTCGCTCTCCTCCTCCATCCGTCCTTCCAACTGCTTCTCCCTCTCCACTTCTCCCACCCCCGCACTGACCACATCCACTAAAACTCACTCCACAAGCACGCAGTGTGGAGAGTGTCGGAGGCGTGCGCTGCTGGCACTTTCCCCCACCCCTGCACTGGGCTCAGCTCCAGCACTGGACTGCTCTCTCTCGCTCTCGCTCTCTCTCTCTCTCTCTCTCTCTCT